CTTCCTCCCCACAGCATCCTCCCTCCCGCGGCCACGGCGCTGCTGCCCGGGGACACCCCAGGGTCACCCCCGGCTCCGAGGAGGTGTCCAGGGCAGGGAGCTGCGGGATCGCAGCGTTTAACTCCCGGCTCAGCTCCTGCCCAGAGTGCTGCCGGGAGGATGTGAAGCCTCCAGTGCCCCAGCCGGGGGGAGCTCCCGGCCAGGGAAGCTCCCGAAGGTTTGGATTTCTTCTAGCAAGCGTGTGATTCCAGCGAGGCCTGGCAGCTCTCCTCCGGCATCAGCACGGCAGGGACCTTGGTGGCAGGGGCAGAGGTGGCTGCGATGGCAATGTGGGGCCAGGCTTAGAGGGAGCCAGGCTGGGAGGGCTTGGAGCACCGGGAGCAGCGCCCCGTGCCAGGCTCTGGCATCATGTTCAGCCGCTCAGGGTACCAAGCCCTTCCCTTGGGAGACTTTGACCGCTTCCAGCAGTCCAGCATTGGGCTCTATGGCACGCAGAAGGGTTTCTTTTCCTTTGGAGACAAGCAAGACCCGCTGGGACCAGCTGGGAATGCCGCAGGTGAGTCTCAACCCTCTGGGGCTGGCTGGGAGTACTGCAGGTGAGTCCCAACCCTCTGGGGCTGGTTGGGAACGCCACAGGTGAGTCCCAGCCTGCTGGGGACATTTAGGAATACCATAGGTGAATCCCAGCCTTACAGGGGAGTTGCTGTCTTTCCCCCTATTGCCCCTGGTGCTGTGGGGTGTCACACTGTCGGGGTGTCCCCCACGCTGCCAGCTGCCCTGTGGTGCAGGGTGCATGAAGGGAGAGGCTTGGATGGGAGTTCTTGGGCAGAACAAGAGGTTTTGGAGGAGGTACATCACTCTGCCTACAGACTCCTCCCAGGGTTGGCTGACCTGGATCTGCCATGGGATTATCACCTCCTTGGTTTTCTTGCTGATGGTTGTCACCTTCCCCATCTCAGGATGGTTTGCCTTGAAGGTAAGTGAGGAAAGAGGTGAGGAGAGGGATGACAATCCATCCTTCATGGTGGGGGACCATTCTCCAGTGGCCCTGGTCCTAGCATTGCAGGATTCAGGGATTTGCTTTTACCCTGGTCTAAACTTTCCCATTTCAGGTGGTGCCCACCTATGAGCGAATGATCATCTTCCGCCTGGGTCGCATCCGTGCGCCGCAGGGCCCTGGCGTGGTCCTGCTGCTGCCCTTTATTGACCACTGGCAGCGGGTGGATCTCAGGACAAGGGCCTTCAACGTGCCCCCCTGCAAGGTAAGCTGCCTTGGGCCTCAGGGGGGCATGGAGAAATAGCTCCCAGAGCAGGTGGATTTTGGGATGGTGTGACGCTTGGTGACCCAACTTTCATTTCCTCCATTTTCGCAGAGAGGCCAGGGGTGTTGTAGCTGGTGCTGGGACATCAGAGTCCTCACCTGCCTGAGGTCAAAAAGTTCCTTTTCTTTACACATCTTGTTCAGTGGATGTTCCTGGCTGCAGACATGCCAAGAACATCAATCTTCATCCTTTCTAGATGTCTTTCAGTAACAGCTCCATGCTGGAAACCATTCAGATTAACCCCAAATTCATTAGTTGGCTTTGTTTTGTTCCTAATAAAGAGATCCAGAGCTTGTTGCCAGCTGGGAGTGCCTTTGCTCCCGGGATCTACACAACAAGGGTTGGGCCTTGGGGTGGAGAGAGGAAGAAATCCTGACTCCCTTTTGCCCCAGCTGACCTCCAAGGATGGGGCAGTCATCTCCATGGGCGCTGATGTCCAGTTCCGGGTGTGGGACCCCGTGTTGTCTGTCATGATGGTGAAGGACCTCATCGCGGCCACCCGGATGACGGCACAGAATGCCATGACCAAGATCTTGGTGAAGAAGAGCCTTCATGAGATCCAGGTGGAGAAGCTGAGGATTGGGGAGCAGCTGCTGGTGAGGACTCCCTGAGAGCCCCCAAACCCGTCAAACCATTGGGGTATTGGTGTGGAAGTAACAGTAAAAGAAAGATGGAGCTGCTGAAAGTCCACCTGGCCATGGACCTGGCCAAGGAAGGGAGCTGGGAAAATGAGATTAATGGGGAGCTGATACCTTCAGATCTCTGGAGCTCTGTGGCTTCTCTCTAAGATCTTTGGGTATGCAGAAAAGCACAGGTGTTGTTGGTGTACTTAAATCTGACCTTCATATCTCCACCAGGAAAATGTCTGGAGGGAGCCTGGAAAGGGCTTTGGCAGAGAGAAGCAGGATGAGCTGGTGGCAGAGGGATAATGAGTCCTGTGCACAGCCAGTCTGGGCCAGATCAAGATCTTGTGGGTTGAATGTCTGCAAGGGATGTAAAAATAGGCTGGGGGTGTCTCTGGGATGATTTGGAGGGCAGAGATGCTGCCTGGTGGAGCATCATGCCAGGACATGTTGCCCAGGGGGAGCAAGGAAAGGGGCCAGCCTGGGAGGGAGCCATGGAGAGTGGAACAAAACAGAGCTGTCTTCCCTGTCCCAACCTCCTCCAATCTGGGAGAGCACCTAGGGGAGCAGGGTTGAACTCGAGAGTGGACAGCTTGGAGGAGGAGGACCACGGAGCCAACACCCCACTGGTGGCTAGCAGCAGTACGAGCTATGGGATACCCATGGTTGGAGGTGCTATGGTGGGTAGGTGGTCACCATGGCCATATCCATCTCCTGGGCTGCCAACACATATCCCTTTCTTCCCAGCTGGAGATTAACGACATGACCAAGTCGTGGGGCCTGGAGGTGGACCGTGTGGAGCTGATCATGGAGGCTGTGCTGCAGCCACCCCAGGAGAACCTGGCAGGCCCTCTGACCACTGTGCCACCCGTGCCAGGGCTGCAGGGGCTGGATGGCACCATGCAGCAGCTGGTGCCATCCAGCTTGGCCCACTTCTTCAGCAGCAGCCTGGCTCTGGCTGGTGGCGGGACCAGTGCTCCGGAGCCAGGTAACTAACCCAGGGTCACTGCTGCTCTGCTGGGGGCTGTCCCTTCTGCCAGTGACCTTTGTGTCCATTGCCTGTCAGACACAGGAGTCAAAGTCTGAGAGATACCACTCTCCTGTGAGCACAGCACAAATAGACTGGTAGGGGGGAGGGGAGAGGACAGCTTTGGGCACAGCTCCGTACAGCACATGGCACATCGCTGTTCCAACAACACTGGAGACGGGACTGAGGAGGGCAGAAGTCAATCTGCAGGAGACACTGTTCCAACAACACTGGAGATGGGACTGGGGAGGGCAGAAGTCAATCTGCAGGAGACCAACTCAGATCTCAGCATTTTCACCAGGCAAACCCAAGTCTGAGCTTGCAGAGTCACGTGGGGCTTTTTTCCCAGAAATCCTGCACTAATTTGTGCCCAATTATTTTTTTTTCAATGATAATTTTCCACCCCCTGGTAGCCAGGGAAAAGTAACCTATGGCAGACAGAGGAGCAGGACCTGGCAAAACCAGTTGTCCTCTTCTTTCTTATCTGGAAACTTGATGGCTAAGTGGGTTTCTTTGCTCTGGAGACCTTTTCTGGTGGGTCCAGGTCACCACACAAAGGTGTCCCCTCTTCTGTCCCTAGGAGACAGTGTGGAGACAGTGAACGAGGTGGAGCCTCCCACTGCTCCTCTCCTGGCCCGGAGAAAGCCTAGTGCAGATGAGCTGCTCTCAGCGATGGAGCCTGTCCTCTCTGAGACCCTGGTCAGCCAGGTGGGAGCATCCTACCAGGTCAACATCGCCCTGGCCAGCGGCACTTGGAGCTCCTACTTCATAGACCTCTCCTCAGGTCACCACTCTTTGGAGTTATTGTGTTGGAGGTGGGAGGGTGTTTTGCTCCTGTGCCCCCTTTGCATGCTGCAAACTCCACCAAGCTCAGGGGGCCCAAACCAAACCCATTTGGTGCCTCCCTGAAGGTCACCCCAGGGCTCATCAGCAGAGTGCTGAAGTTTGATGGCCATGGCCTTGAGTCCATGCTCCCTGGAAGTCCAAAGTATAATTAGTTTTGGGTTAAAACCATGAATTTTCGTTCTGAAAGAGAGTATTGATGGAAAATCAATACACAGATCTCCTCATGGGTTGTCAAGCAGGATGGCTCAGAGACATCAGGGGTCTTGTAGGACACCAGCCCAAGGGGGTAGTGATGGAGGGACCCTGCCACACTGAAGGGTATCCTCCCAGCACCTTAATCCATCCCACCATGGTTGCTGACGGTTTTCCTGGTGGTCATGACAAAAGCAGGACAGGGCTTGGACGTGACCCACTCTTACAGGACATCAATGGAGGAACACATCAGAAATTAATTTCCATAAGGAGTAAGGACTCCTGTCTCCAAAATCCCCCTGCCAGGCCCTTGTCTGTCATCTGGCCCATCTCAGTCCTTAGGAAATGTATGAGGGAAAACACCAGCTGGATCCTGAACCTGTTGTTCCTCCCTCTCTCACCCATCATGTCCTACAGGCAGTGGGCGGATTGGCCGTGGTGTGCCCGAGGGCATCCCCGACGTCACGCTGGAAGTGGCCGAGAGAGACCTTCAGGACCTCTTTTTGGGTGACCTGCGCCCCCTGAGTGCCTACATGAGTGGGAGGCTGCAGGTGAAAGGTGACCTGCACCTGGCCCTCAAGCTGGAGGAGCTCATCAAGGCGATGAAGCAGCATAGATAGAGCGTGTGTGTGTGTGGGTGTGTGTCCGTGTGCTTGTGTCTCTGTAGGTGTGGGCAGGTGGGGGATGGATGGGGTGCTGTGTGCTGGGGGCCTTGCCCTACTGGAGCACCTGCTGCCTTCCCTGTCGAGGCTGTGGGAGCTGGGGGAAGATCTGAGCAGGGAAACAGGCTGAGCTCCACTACCTATCAAGGCTGTGGGAGCCGTGGGAAGATCTGAGCATGGAAACAGGCTGAGCTCCACTACCTATCCTTGTTCTTGGCTTTACCACTGTTCCTCATCCTCTACTTACAATGTTTTGGGAACCAGCTGACACCTCAGCACATGCCAATTTGCTTCCAGTTGCATGGAATTATGGGATGGTTTGGGTTGGAAAGGACCTTAAAGTTCATCTAGTTCCACCCTCTGATATGGGCAGGGACACCTTCCACTAGCCCAGGTTGCTCCAAGCCGTGTCCAACCTGGTCTTGATTTCTTTGGCCAATGTGCCACCAGGGCACAGACTGATGTCCTGGTGTCCCCAGTGGGGTGCACAGCCAGGGATCTCACTGGAAGGGCCATTTGCTGAGCAGATTGGGTGGAGGAGAGCTTGAGGACATTGTGGCCAAGGACAGAGTGATGGGGTACACAGCTGGAACAGGACACGAGGGCTGGCTGTACCAGGCTGGGATGCCACCAGCAGGCTGGAACTGGGATCCAGCATGGCACTGCTGATGGAATCCTGGCATTCCCAGGGAAGGAGCAGAGGTGGCAATTTGGAGGATGCCCTACCTTCCCCACACAGCCCTTTGTAATTAGTGATTGCGCTAATCTGTGCTTCAAAACCCTTCTGCATGTGTGCTGAGAGGTGTGTCCAGGGGGGTGAGGACTGTATATAGGCATATATAGATATTTATTTATTTTGGAAGTTTCCTTTCTATCCTCTCCATGGACAATAAACCTGGTGTGTGGGCACTGATGGGCTGATCAGTTCTGCAGGGGCTGCACCCCTTGTGCCTCAGTTTCCCTGAGGAACTCCAAGCTGCTGCATAGAGACCAGGGTGTGGGAGCTGCTGCTGGTCAAGAAGGCTCCATGGTGATGAACACATGAAGTCCTGTTACAGTAAGGAAGAGTTGGCAGTACATGGCATGGCCTCTCCAGGGATGCTCAGCTCTCCAGCAGCATCCCACAGGTTAAATCTCTTGGAGCTTCAGGCAGCTTTCCCAGCCCTTAGGATGGACCAGTGGGACAAACCTGAGTGGTCTTGCTGTCCTGTTCCATCCATGCAAGGGGCTCCTTGCCAGAGGATGAGATGGTGGTGGTGGAAGGAGAATTAACCTGTTTCCAAAACTGAAAAGTTTGGAACTGAAACATTTCTTGAGTGCAACCAGACCATACCACCTGCTAAATGACTTCTTCAAAGTCTGGGGCTGGGTGGAACCAGCTGGGGCCAAGCTTTGGGGATCCTCCAGGAGTCAAAAGCATGCAGGGGAGGAGACAATTGTGTCCCACCCTGCTCTCTCCCTTTGGGGATGCCAGGCTAGATGAACCTCAAGTGCTCCTGGTGGTCCCCCTTTTGTGGTGACCCCCCATTCATGGTGGTCATCCAGTTTGTTTGTGGTGGTCCCCCTTCTGTGGTGGTGGTCACCCTGTTATGGTGGTCCTCTGTTCATGCTGGTCTCCTTTCATGGTGGTCCCCATCGTGCAGATGGCTGGGGGGACCGATGCTCTGCAGGAAGGGACAAAAAAGAGCCAGGATACAGGACAAAGAGGGATGAGATATCCTCTCCAAGGTGGGGGAATTGTCCCTGATCATCCTCACGGTGTGCAGAAGAATAGGATGGGCATCAAAACCCACTTAGGCAGTGGCCCCCACACTGAGCAGGGCACTGCGACCCAACAATACATTTCTGGGGGGTGCTGCTCCTTGAGGAAACCCCTTTTTTGGGGGCAGACCTTGGAGTTTCTTCACTCCTGGATGGCCGGAACGGGCTGAGCCGGTTGCTCAGGATTTTTGCGGCGGGCAGCAGGGCTATGCTGGGTTCTGCGCGGCTCCCCCCGCCCCGGCACGGAGGAGGAGTTATTCCCGGGGCCGAGGAAACCGAAAGTACAGGCAG